CAGACCCGACGGGGACCCCGGCTGGGGACCGCTCCCGGCCCCGGTGAGCTGCGGGGGGAAGGGCGACCCAGGGGCTATGTCGGGGTCCCTGTCCCTGGGCGCTGGCAGGGGACTTGTCCCAGTCCCGCGGGGATCCCCCGTCCCCATTGCTGTCCCGGGGGGCTGGCAGGGGCCCACAGCCTGGCCCCAGGGGGCTCTCGGGGATCTTGTCCCCAGGGGGCTGGCAGGGTCCCCATTACAGTCCCGGGTGGGGGTCTTGTCCCTGCCTCCGGGGGACAGCGAGGGTCTGAGGTGGCAGCAGGCAGGATTCCTCCCCCCTCCCGCGGTCAGCTTGGGTTCACCTCCCGCCCGTGGTATTTAGGAAGAGATTTGGTGTGGCCCATCCTCCCCCAGCAGCACCTGTCACCATCGGGCCCTGGGGGACCCCAACACCCCCAGCCCCACACACAGCTGCAGCAGTGCCCCAGGGTCCTCACCAAACCACAGCAGGTAAACCCCTTTCTCCTTTATTTTGACAGATGCAATGGTGACCCCTCCTCTGTGTGTCCTGACCCCGCTTGGTGCTGAGCACCGTTGATATCCCCGCGCCAGTGGCACCGCGCAGCATGGGGCTGTCGTGCCCTGTGGGCCTCTTGCTGGTGCTCGCTCTGGTCCCGCTGGGCACCAGCACCTGGCAGTGCCCCCGCATCCCTTACAGCTCTACCAGGAACTTCTCCGTCACCTACACGTTGCCCAGCCTCGATGCCGGCAGCCCCGTGCAGAATGTTGCTGTCTTCGCCAACTCCGCCGGCCCGGCTGCCATCTTCGTGGCCGTCCGCAACCGCATCCTGCTGGCCAGCCCCGAGCTGCGCCTCCTCTCTGTCCTCATCACCGGCCCGGTGGGCAGTGCTGAGTGCGAGATCTGCCGCCTGTGCCCAGACACCATGGACGGCCCCAAGGACACAGACAATGTCTTGCTGCTGCTGGACCCACTGGAGCCATGGCTGTACAGCTGTGGCACAGCGCAGCACGGGCTGTGCTACCAACACCAGCTGGAGGTGCAGGACGGCCAGGTGGCCATCACGACCACACACTGCCTGTACTCGGCCACGGGCAACAGCCCTGCAACCTGCCCTGACTGTGTGGCCAGCCCCCTGGGGACCAGTGCCACCGTGGTGGCCACCTCCTACGCCTCTTTATTCTACCTCGGCTCCACCATCAACAGCAGTGTGGCAGCGCGGTACAGCCCGCAGTCAGTGTCCATCCGCAGGCTGAAGGGCACCTTGGACGGCTTCTCAGATGACTTCCGGTGGCTGACGGTGCTGCCGCAACACCGGGACAACTACACCATCCATTACGTGCACTCCTTCACCGATGGGGACCACGTCTACTTCCTGACAGTGCAGCCGGAGCGGCCGGGCTCAGCAGCGTACCACACACGCCTGGCGCGGCTCAGCACCCAGGAGCGCGACCTCCGCCACTACCGCGAGCTCGTCCTCGACTGCCGCTTCGAGTCCAAGCGGCGGCGGCGGCGGCGCAGCGGCGAGGAGGATGCCGAGTGGGATGTCGCCTACAATGTGTTGCAGGCAGCCCATGCTGCTCGCCCCGGTGCCCGCCTGGCCCGTGACCTTGGCATCAATGACACCGACATGGTGCTCTTTGGTGCCTTCGCCGAGAGCCGGCCAGAGAGCCGGGTGCCACGGGAGAACTCGGCCGTCTGCGCCTTCCCCCTCCGCCTCCTCAACCAGGCCATGGAGGAGGGCATGGAGAAGTGCTGCAGCACCGGGCACCAGCCGCTGCTGCGGGGGCTCAGCTTCTTCCAGCCGGTGCAGTACTGCCCACACAACGTGAGTCCCTCCACCCCGCGTCTGTCCCGGGGGGGCTTGGGGGTTGGCTGGGACACGAGGAGGTGAATCCAGGACGCTGGGAAGAGCCGGTAAAATGTGGCGGACTGGGGAGGAGGGTTGGGCAGGAGGAGAGCAGTGTCGCCCAGGTGTGAGTCAGCCCCACCAGGCACCCACCGCCTGTCGCAGGGGCCGCTGTGCTCTGCCGGCCCCGGCTGCACCGAGGAGGCAGGGTGCTGCGGGGATCCAGTTTTGTTCCCCACCCTGGGCACCCCGTGCTCAGCCGGGCTGGGTGCTGTAGACACGTGTCCTGGCACGCGGCCACACCGCCACTTGCCATGCATTAGCCCGAAAGTCCCTCTCCTCGGTGTGGCTTCCCCTGGGAGTACCGGCTCCAGCCCCTGTGGTGACTGTCCCCAGCGCTGGGTTGTGGATGGCCACACTCTTCAGATCGTTTATGTTGGGGGGGGGACAGGGAAGCGGCAGGGCGTCGGTGCTCTCCGGGCCACCCCCGCCTTGCACCCCCAGCCGCCGCCTTCTCTGGGCAAATAAACCACAGGCGGAAGCACAATTAGTCACCAGGGTTTCTCGTCTGCCACAGCTGTGGGGCAGGAACACCGTGTCCCAGGGACAAGCCCCAGCATGGCCGGGACGGGGACAGGCAGACACCCCGGCAGGTCCCCCTCTGCAGACAGGGTCCCGGCAGGAACCCACGACACAAGTTTTGGTGTTCTTGGCCAGACACAGGGCAAGGTGCAGCCAAATCCCCTCCTCTTCCCATGCACGGAGCAGACAGCTCACTGACGCTGACTCACGCTGCAGGCACGGCAAGCCAGGAGGGGATCCCCAGCCCCACACATCGCAGTGGGCTCAGTGGGGGCCCCTTGGCTCCTGGTGTCCCCCTTCAACCCCAGCCCCCCACTGAGCTCCAGGGGTTGGGGGGGGCTGATTTTGGGGTGCCCGCCCTGCGGTGCCGGCACTGATAACCACATCCAGATGGGGTGGAAGGGGAGGGCAGGATCTGACGCCATGCGGGGGCTGCGGGAGGGGCCACAGATGTGTTTTTCCCCAAAAATTTTCCTAGCTGGCTGGGGAGCTTGGGCAGTCAGCTGCTCCCCAAAATATCTCGCAGCTGGAGCTGGTGCCTGCCTGTGAGGGTATGGAGGGGTTGGGGTGCCGGGGCTGGCTTCAAGGTGCCCACCCCATGCTCGGCCACAGGTGAACCTCTCGGCTCCAGTGACCAACACCAGCTGCTGGGACCAACCCACCCTCGTCCCTGCTGCCTCCCATAAGGTGGACCTGTTCAACGGGCAGCTGGCCGGCATCCTCCTCACCTCCATCTTTGTCACCGCCCTGGGAGACGTCACCGTGGCCCACATGGGCACAGTGGAGGGACGCGTCTTCCAGGTGTGATAGGGGGCTGGGTGGGTTGGGGTGCTCCCAGCAGCGTGTGGGGTGCACTCAGCCCTCCACTTTGCCCTGCTGCAGATGGTGCTCCAGCGCTCCAGCTCCTACCTCCTCACCTTGGCCAACTTCTCCCTGGGGGAGCCGGGGCCGGTGCGGGGAGCCATGGGACTGCAGAGCCACTCGCTGTTCTTCACTGCTGGCACCAAGGTGAGTGGGGGGCCTGGGGGGCCCAGGACAGGCACTGAGCCCCAAGTGCCCCACTCGCCTCCACTCTCTGTCCCCAGGTATGGCGCCTGAACGTCACGGGCCCCGGCTGCCGCCACTTCTCCACGTGCCAGCGGTGCCTGCGGGCCGAGCGCTTCATGGGCTGCGGCTGGTGCGGGGATGGCTGCACACGCCACCATGAGTGCGCGGGTCCCTGGGTCCAGGACAGCTGCCCGCCCGTCCTCACTGATGTAGGTCTGCGCTGCTGTTCCCCCCTGCTCCCCACCTCTCCCAGGCACTCAGATGGGGAGGGAGGTGGCAAATGGAGTGGCGCATGGTGGCACTTTTGGCCCATCCGGAGACCCCCTCCCTGGGATGGGTGTCATGCTCCCCGGGGAAGGCAACCACCACTGGGCTTTTGGGGCTCGGGGTGACACAGGTGCCTCTCCCGTAGTTCCACCCCCGGAGTGCCCCACTGCGGGGCCGGACACGGGTGACGCTCTGTGGCATGACCTTCCGCTCCCACTTGGACTCCGACCCCCGCCACAGCCCCCCTGGCACCTACCGGGTGTCAGTGGGACGGCGAGGCTGCGCTGTGCTGCCAGAGGAGACCAGGAGCCACAGGTGCGTGGTGGTGCCAGGAGGGGGAACAGCAGCAGAGTGGAGTCTAGAACTGCCCCCCTAGCCCAGAGCTGACCCCCCATCACTGTTCCGCAGACCCCTGCCCACCTCCCGCCGCAAGGACTTTGTGGACGTGCTGGTGTGTGAGCTGGAGCCGGGGAGCCCAATGGCAGCGGGGGGGGCAGCCGATGTGGTGCTCACTGTGGAGGAACCCACCAGACCCTCTGGCTTCCACGTCCATGGATCAGCCACCCTCGGCGGCTTTGTCTTTGTGGTATGGACCCACACTGGTGGTCACCCCTGGTGGGGTCTGGGGTGAGAGCTTGGCTCACCCACCCATCCCACTGACCCTGTCTCTGCCCAGGAGCCCCACATCAGAGACCTGCACCCCCAGTTTGGTCCCCGGGGGGGTGGCACTCACCTCTTTCTCCATGGCACCCACCTCTCAGCGGGGAGCAGCTGGAGAGTGATGGTCAATGGCTCCGAGTGCCCACTGGCCATGCAGCCCAGGTACACCCCTGCCCTGCCCCTGCCAGACACACCAAGGTCTCTGGCATGGAGATGGGCATGGGGACCCCCCATGGTCCCACTGTCCCCTCCAGCCATGGCTGCTGTGTCTCCAGCCAAGGTGACAGGGCAATTCAGTGCACAGCTCCCACCGCTGGTGGCTTGGGCGCAGCCTGGGTGTCCCTGTGGATCGACGGGGAGGAGTTCCTGGCACCCCTGCCCTTCCAGTACCGCCCAGACCCCTCCATTTTGTCCGTCATCCCCAGCTGCAGCTATGAGTGAGTGCATGGGCTCCCTTACTCTAGAGGGGGAGATCCCTGACCTCCCCACTGCCCCTTGCTGGGCTGGATGAGGAGCTGGGGACCACGTGCATCCTGGGGCCCTGATCCCTTCCTGCCACAGGGGCTCGATGCTCACAATCATCGGCACCCACCTGGACTCGGTGTATCGCACCAAGATCCGCTTTGAAGCCAGCGGCGTGAAGACTGAAGCCACAGTAAGCACTGGGGCAGGATGCTGTCAACCCCTATCCCTGTCCTGCCCCCCTCATTTCCCTGCATGCTGTGCCGTGCCGGCACCCAGCATCCCCCTGTCTGCAGGAGTGCGAGGGCCCGCAGGCGCCAGAACAGCTGCTGTGCCGCAGCCCAAGCTTCCCCTTCGAGGGCAAGGTGGAGACAGCGCTGGGGAACCTGAGCGTGCTGCTGGATGGCAACACTGGCCACCAGCTCTTCCGTCTACGCTACTACCCCAAGCCCAAGTTCTTCTTCCCCTCAGAGACAGAGGGCGGGCGCCTCCGCCTCAAGCCTGGCGACAATGAGATCAAGGTGCAAGTACGTGGGGCAGCGGGGTGAGCCAGGGTAGGGGGTCCTACCACTGGGACCCCCGGGCTCAGGGCACTGTGTCTGGGCAGCAATTAGGGCTGGACACCGTGGCCTCCTGCATGAACGTCACCATGACGGTGGAGGGCCGGGACTGCCACCCCAATGTGCTGAAGAATGAGGTGACGTGCCGCCTGCCCCGCGACCTGCACCTGCCCCCTGCAGATGTGACATTTGCCACCACTGCCAGCAAAAGGAGTGGTGAAAGCTGGTGCAACCTGCAGTGAGCATCAGCGGGGGGCTCAGCTGCTCTGCCCCGCTCCTGGGCAGCCCCAGTGCCAGCCTCAGGCACGAGCTGCACTGTGTCCCCTGCACAGGCAGTGGCTGAAGCAATTAGGGTGTAATTAAGTGAGGCTGGTAACAATGCTTGGTCACCACGCAGCAGCCCCAAGCCCCGTCCAGCATGTCCCACACCAGGACCCTGTGCTGTCAGGCAGGGTGGGCAGCAGTGCTCAAAACCAGGTGCTGGCGGGTACTGTGGGCTGGGTGCCACTGTGTCTGCCACTGTCATTGCATGTCCTGGGCCCCGTGGTCTCACGGGCACCTCAGTGCCAGGGACACTGTAATCCCATGCCCTGGGCTCCGTGACACCAGCAGCACTGTGATCCCACCACCAGGCACCCGTGATCCCACCAGCACCCTGATCCCATGCCCAGGCACCCATCATCCCAGGACCACCGTTATCCCAGGGGGCACTGTGATCCCAGACCCTGGGCACCATCATCCCGTGACCCACACCCCCAGCAGCAGGATCCCAGGGGCACCATCACCCCCTGCCCAAGAGCATGGCACCCCCCACACCATCTCACGCCCCACGGCCCACCCTAGCCATGCAGCCAGGTGGGTGCCTCGAGCCCACTCAGCTGGCAGAGCCCACCCTGACTGGCAGAGCTGCCGGCAGAGCTGCTGGGGCTATATTTAGCCACAGCTGAAGAGGGTGGAAAGGGCTGTAACCAGCGAGATATCACCTCCCTGCCATGGCCCCCAACTGCCCAGGTAAGGGGGCAGAGGCAGGGGGCACAGCTTGGCACCCGCTGCTGTTTGGGATCACTGGTGAGCAGGGCTGTGGGCTCTGGCTGGAGGCAGCCAGGAGGGGGATTTTTAGAAAACTCCTTTTGCCTGGTGCTGACATCACCTCCTAGATGCCTGTGTCCCCCCCCCCAAGCACAGGGGTGGGACCCAGGGCGCGTAGGTTGGCCCGGTGTGGTGGGCACTGGGAGATGGTGCTCGAGGTGGCCACGCCAGC